CCCAGACGTAACGTTTCCCTTTCTCGGACCCTTATTGAAGGTCGCTGACCATTTTTTTCCTCTTCAAAAATTTCAATGTCGACCCCCGTGGTTTTATGACCGCGGAAAACGTTTTTGTCTTCTACTCTTGGTCACACGATATAATTTACTATCACACGCACGGGTGTGCGAACGAAAAAATAAAAGTGAAACCTCTCGGCGGCGGCGGACGGACGCCCTTCGACCGTCGCGTACGCGTATAAATCGTCGCGCCGCGGGTATCGTTTGCCGGAACGCACGTCGCGGGGGTAGCAGCAGCAGCAGCAGCAGCAGCACCCTGTGTGTAATTTTGGAAAGGTCGAAAGGGTTGCGCGCATGTATTATTATACAACCGAACGCGTTTCGCACCTGATGTTATTCGCGACGGTTGCGCGGGCGCGGCAGATGTAAAACGTTTTGGGTGTGCAACGCAACGAGCGAAAGTGTATACAACACAACCTATACCGTAGGTAAACGCACGCCCTCCGCACCCGCGCAAATAGCGAGTACGGGAGAAAGAGAAAAGAAATGGGGAAAAAAAAATACATAACACTACGACGTTTTGTGCCCGCAGTGGCGGCGCGCAGCACACCTGAACGGGTGTGGAAGAAGAGAACGAAAAAAAAAACATCCCTCGTCCCGATAAGGGTCACAGGGGGCGGCGGGCGGTGACGTAACCACCCGGCCGACCGACCGGCGGGACACCCGCCCGCATTTGATACGTGTAGTGACGGCCAAGTTCGGCGGCGCACGCAACGCGCAAACATTGACCTTACACCGTTTCACACACACACACACACACACACACACATATACACAGCCGCATAAACCGACCCCCTCCCGTCAAACTGTCCGGCTGCAACCTGGCCGCCGTCCGCCACGGTGGATGGTTCACTGTCTTTCGTGGATCATTGGACTTCCCTCTCCACGCGACGCAACACTGCCTCGTCGATTCTTGGCGCGCGCGTACGCACCCCGTCGCAACGATCCGCGCGAAAGACGCAATTCTTGTAACCCAACTACTCGAGGCCCCCTTATCGTTGTACGTTTTTGAGCATCCGTCCCTTTGACGCCCCGGGACCTGCGCGCGATTTTACGGCGCTGTCCGCGTTGCATATTCGTCAGTTCTAAATACACGTGTATTCGTACCGCGAACGCGAATCGAACATAAAGGTATGTCCCGGCGCAACAAGACGCGCTCGTGCTTCCGAACCGAAACACGATTGTTAATAATCGCGCCGTATGGCGATCGAGATCTACGAGCGTCCTCCGAAAAGACCCCGAAATCGATAATTGCACCGTCGCGATCGTTGAGCGCACGCGGTACGATGTGTGACGCACGTTGTACGTCGGTGCGCGCGTTCACCGGGTGGCGCAAGGACACGGTAGAATAATAACGCGCCGATCGCCTTTTCCTGTTCCGCAAACGCTACCGCAGCCCGAATCCCGTCCTTTAACGTCCTGCTCGGACGATCTGCGGACGATGCGAGCGTGCGTAATAAATTAAATGAAAAAAAATAATAATAATAATAATATAATATAAAAAATGTTAACTCGTGTCAATGTCGAGCACTTTAAATCGTATCGTTTCGCTAACAAACAGCACGACGATTCGTACACAACGTTTCAATAACGACGAAACGTACGCGTGGAAACGGATTTCAAAACGTCAGATCGGTACAATTGTACGAGCGCGCGTTCGCATACGTAATCGGCCGAGATGGAACGCGATCAAACTGCACCGATGACGGGCGGATATGAACTCGGATAACGTAAGCGTAATGTTTTTGTCACGTGCACATCGGTGCAAAGATGTTCGTAATGTTTCATCACATGGTCTTTTTTTTTTTTTTATATAATGAAGGCTCGTTGTGGATATTATTATAATAACCAGAAATAAAATTAAAATGAAAATACACTAATCACGCGTGCACACGTAAAGGCTGGTTCAGACTAGGTTCTGACTATGCCAGTAATTTAGTCGAGTGGTAAATGATTTACCAACTACTAAACGGTTTATAAACTGAAAAGTGTTCAGGCACAACTAGGTTTTAAAACTGTTTTAGTACATTAGTAGTCGTTTTGGTGCTGTGAAAAGTGATTGTCAAAATGAATAATAGTTATCAGTCGGGAAATAGAGGGGGGGGGGGGTGCTACCCGACCGAAAAAATAGAACAGAACGGATCGACTAAACTAAATCACTTTTTACTAAACCACTCGACTAAATCGATCTGTTCTTACATGATTAGTTACTAAAATACTCGCTACTTGACTTAATTACTGGCATAGTCCGAAGTAGTCTTAAATCATCGCGATGCCTTATTAGTTCATTGCGAGCGCACGCACGCGAGGAGGACCTATGTGTCGAAATCGATTTAGACGGCTTCCCGAGCGCGGGCGAAAACGGGCCCCGCAACGGTTACGCACAATATCGAAGAAGCTACCGCGAAGTGAAAGCGGTACCGGACGACGTTTTCCGGATCCTTTCGTCTCCACAGTACACCTGATATTGTTTTTAATTTTTCTCTTAGCGTTTCGAGGTCGTTACCGATTCGTCGCTTTCTCGACCGACAATCGTCGTCACGCGCAGCGCAATACGAACGCAGTCGGATTCGTTATAATTATTGTTTTACGTTCGTTTAATTAGTTTTTACACGTCATTGCAGGCACGGGAAAACGTGTACAGGTGTACTGCGATTCGCACGTAATTTTCAATTAGTACACGGTTTTCGAACTTGGCGTGTGTTGTTTGTTTACAGTTCTCGAACGGTTTTACTTTCAATCCGAATCCGATGTACTGCTGAATCCGCATTCGTTGAACTCGTATAGTATTCGTGAGTGTATGGACGTATATCGTAGAACGCGGATGGGCACTTGTTTCTCAATACTATGCGTACGGGCATTCTAACCGGCTGGACCGCGCGCAACATGATCAGTGAAAGTGATTTGAACGTTTTAGGGGCCTTCCAGACCGACAGTACGCCGTAGCGTTCTAAGGTCGCGTAGTGTTGTTACTATTAATGAAACCGTGTGTACCTTGTGTAAAAATTACTGAGAGGAAGCTGGTAACGAAAAAAAAAAAAAAAAAGAAGAAGAATCGTTAGAAGAAAATAAAATAAACAAAAACGTCAGACGTTTGATTTCCAACTAAATAAAATATCTCGTAAAAAAACAAGAAAAAAAAAAACGTTCGTCAAAACAATAACAATTCGAAAGAATATTAATTACAAAAATAAAATGTCGTCGGTGGCGACCTAATGTTCTCACGATGTTGCGAACGTACAATAATAATAATAATAATAATAAAAAAATATAATATCGCCGCCGCCGAGCATTGTACATGCGATACGGTTCCGTCGCAAACCGCGGTTAAGGTCACGACGACGGCGGCGGCGGCGGTGGCGTGCGCGATTTCTGCCGGTCTAGACACTTTCGTCGGCGAATCGAGAAACACACACGGTATCATTGTTGCGTATCGCAATGCAGAAATAAAAAATAAGAAAATAACGAAAATATTTTTTACCGTATCTGTTTAATACGATGCAAGTTATACAATAATAATACGTTATCAGCGCCGGATTTAAAAACTATAAAGCCACCTTGAAAATTTAATAATCCAAGGCCCGTTCAAAATAATTAATAAATTGATATAGTCCAGTAGTTCAAGACGGTGTGTTTTGACAAAACGTCATAAAATACGCGAGATCCTAACATCCACCGCACGTTAATTTTTTTTTTTTTTTGTTTCTAATCTAAGACGCAAACTTTCAGTATCATGTCGGACCCTTCGGTTCCCTGCTGTGACACAATACGCTCCAAAGACCCAAAGATTCTGCTAGACATCGGAAATGCATTATTTTCCTCGAATTATTATTTACTATCTGACGATAAAATGTTTTCGATATGTTCCTGGTGTATTAATTCACGCCGTTAAGAAACATTTAAGGTTTGCATCCGAGGCACTTCCGGTAAACCGGCATCGTATCTGATATCAATTTTATACCGACGAACGTTATCAATTATATTTTCGTTTTCGGCACAGGTTAGACAGATACCATATTAAGCATAGGTTTTGAAAATTTTATGTTCGACCTTATGGTCCGACGTCCTCGACACGCGGGTCATCAAGTATTCGACCACTATATTATAATTTTGCTTTGCCGATCAATAATAATAACACGGTTTATCATGAAAACAAAATATACGTATAAATTTATCAAGACAATGTCGAGCTACAACTGCAGCGCAGACCTCGACGCGATGCCGATGATAAAACATAAAATAAATAAATAAAACTGTAGGAACAGTTGTCGAAGTTCAAGTTTAAATTAACAGACGACCGTGACGGGTTAAAAAAAACATATACACACAAATAAAATAGTTTTAATTGCGCACTTGAAAAACGTAACAATATAATATAATAATAATAACTGGGTGACTGCAGTGGACCGGAAAAAAGGATTCCCAAAATGTTTTCGAATCCGTGCGACGCGAACGTTTAGTTTTCGGTTGCACTCGGATAATATTATGTTTATTCGGCCGTTATCGAGTAAAATTCGTTAAAAAATAAAAACGCTCGTGGCGGTGAAGAAAATCACGTGTGCGTGCACCGACAAGAGTTCTCTCGGAGGTATATATAACGATTATGTTTTCGGCGCGCGCGCGTGAAAACGAAAGCAAAAACCTTCACCTGTCCGCACCGAAAATCGTCGACGACCGTTTCCCTTTGGGATCTTTCACCGGCGCGGGCGCCACTTTCACCTCCGAATACCTTTCCCAGCTGAGAGGACGACGACCGATGGGATACGGAGGTCGGTCGAAAAATTACGATAATAATAAAAACAATAATACGATATAAATATAACACGTTGCGCTACCTCGTGTACACCTGCACACGCGATTCGTAACGCTAATTGGACGCAAATGTTGTGCACCTATCGACTAACAATAATAATAACGAATAACAAACATGCGGTAATTACCCAAGTCCGGTATGGAGCTGGTAGGTTCCTCGGAGATCATCGGAGGGCTCCGGCTGTACTCCGTCTTGACGGTGACCGACGGCGCGTTGGCCGCGACGTTAGCGGCGGCGGCGGTAGCCGACGAGCCCGTCTTGCACCGAGGGCCCGGAGCGGCGGGCGGACGCATGGTGGCCACCGCCGACGAGGACGGCGGGGCCGCGGCCGGCAGCGGACAGTGTTGCGGCATTTGTTGTTGGTGCTGCTGCGGCTGATGGCGATGGTGCTGCGCGGGCGGAGACGGCACTCCGCCGCTACCGGTCGAAGAGGACACGACGCCCGGCGATTGCGGCACGCGAAAATCACCGGCGAGCTGCTGCTGCTGGTGTTGCTGCTGCTGCTGCTGCTGCTGGTGTTGCTGTTGCTGCTGCTGGTGTTGCTGTTGCTGCTGTTGCTGTTGCTGTTGCTGTTGCTGCTGTTGTTGTTGCTGTTGCTGCTGCTGGTGTTGTTGGTGTCGTTCGGCGCTGTACACGTGCATCAATACGCCCGAACTGGTAACGACTTGCGAGAGTTGCATGTTTGCGAGCACCGGTAGCCGACGGACGGACGGCGCTAGAAGCGGAAAAATGAAGTTCGTCCGGGGGAGACGAAAAGTTGACGGACCACGGAACTCGGGGGACCGCGGGATAATGCGGTGACGTAATCAAATGAAAACCAGTGTTGTTAATACGACGACGTCGGCGGTGCGGAAAAATCGAGGCGGTCGTAGTGGTGTATCATCGCGATCCGTACACAACGACGCACTGGACGGTCGGCGGCGGTGGCGGCGCACATGAAAACGGAAAAAATTTATATAACGAAAAAAAAAAAAAAAATTGAAAAAAATTAATAACTGGCGGAAAATTGACGAACGAGTAAAAAACAACAAAAAAAAAAAAAAATCAACGTTCAATCCGTACGGGAATTGTAATGCTCGCGTCACGAAAAACGGACGATCACGACGGGACG